ACATTATTATTTATTATTCTTAAATGTAAGTAACCGGCTCTTTAAACTTTTCTTAAAAATAGTAAAATTAATACGATAATAAATACGATAGATAGATAATAATACAAAGTAATAAAAACCACCGGTTATAGGGGCATTTTTTGAAGAAAATTATCAAATAACCAAAAAAACACCATTTTTTTTTTGCAGATTTTTTTCAAAAAGTATCATTTTTTATTATTTTTTGGCCTTTTTTGTGTATTTTATGTATTTTTTTAGTATCGCCTGTTATTTATCATTATTACTGTTTTTATTTTATCAGGATACACCGCTTAGTTTAAAAGTTATTACGTTTTCTTTACAATAAGTAATTGGAAGAAAAAAAATTCGATAAAAAATTTAAAAATTTTTTGACCTCTTTTTTGTCGATAAAAGTAGGTCTAGTTTCATCTATTTTCATATGTACACTTTAACGTGACTCACACTGTATTTGGGCATATGGTTTGTTTTCAACGATCGGCCGAAGACATAGACACAGTATGTGAGTTGTAAGTTCATGGACAGAATGTAGGTATTTTCCAATGTCTTCAAATATACACGTACTCATGTATTGTAGGTACATAACTGTATGTCTGTCACAGCGAAACACGAGAGCGAATCGCGATAGTGAAATAACAACGCTTCTATTTACCAGGATAGCATAAATTGACGGATCCTCAGTTTCTGAGCCGAGCGTTTCTTGGGGGGAGGGGAGGGGGCTAGGGTTGACAAATGGGGCGCTCCGAGCATCCGCGAGCGATACAATCGGTGCGTTGCTTACTGTGCTCCGTTGTAGGAAAAAAGGTAGGGCTGTCGCTTGGTTGAATATTGTTTTCAAAATAATTTTGACGTTCCAAAGTTTTTGTCACACCCACGAAGTTTGTCTAACGTTCCACCCAATAACTACCCTGTATAATTTATCATATCATGATACTTTCATATATCAGTAATTATTTTTAATTTAATTACTTTCAAATAATAGAAACGGAAAGGCAACACTACCGTCATTTACTGTCGGACGGTCGACCTCTTGAGATATTTAATTTGACAGCTGTATTAGATAGTGCAGTCAATCTAGATAACTTTGGCTATCAGTATAATATTAGCTCAAAATTATATTTTGGCCAGAATATATTTTTAAACACACTAAAAATGATTTAGAACACTTCCAATTGACAGATAGATTCAGGTCGCTTCTAATGTATTACAGAGCGGGCGCCTTTTTGGCACGAGATACTATGTTTAATGTAATGTTGTGTGTTTAATGTTTTTTTTTGTTTTCTCTTCTTTTATTTGTGTTTACGTGTCAAATAAAGGTTTTTCTATTCTATTCTAATATACTGGACATAACTTTTATACAATCAAATATTCCCTACGAAGCTCAGAAAAGTATTTTATTCATATTTTTTATTTTTCCATCTCCAGTCCTGGCAGCCCTGCGGCACGCGTCACTGGACTCGTCCCGTCGTACCATTACTCACTGTCGGTAGCCATTTTCGTTCGCCCCGCCCGCTACGCGCTACGGGCTACGCCGTAGCTGCCGTAGACCGCCTCGCTGCTCCTGCTGCCCTGGTATTTCTACTTTAATTAATACTTTGTAATCAACGTTTTGATAATTAACTGTCACATAGCACTTTAATTATGTAGTGGTATTTAATTTAACGTTAAAGTTGTCTCGAACTACAGGGTTAATAATCGTAACTTACCTAAGAAAATGTACAGCAATACAATGAAAGTTATTTGCTTTCACTAAACAATCAACACGTTATCTATATTTTACTTTAATTAATGATCACGTTATGATATTTTTCTCATAATATGCATCCACAATAACAGTTGTAGTATTGCATACAGCTGATTACCTGATTTTGTTCACGATTACAAATAAAATGTTCAATCTTAACTTATGATTAAAGGAAGGTATGATTGAGCGGAATCATATTACTTGAACATTACATATAAATATTTTTTTTTTAGAAATGGAAAATGGGATATCCATTAATCGATGGCTCCTACGTATAAGGGCGAAACTGCCGCTTACGTCTTTTTCCAATTATTTAAGCAATGATTTCACTTTGCTCTAATCTATAACATCAGTAAGAAAAAAAATTTTTTTTTCCATTAGATACAAAATAAAATTTTAGGCAAATAGGCGTATGTGCAAAACTACGCCACGTATAAAGCCCAATCATACGATTCGTCAATCTATACGAGTAGTTGCTTACATAAACATATATTTTTTATAATCCAAATCTTAAATAAAGCCATGAAAATATTTAGCAAATTGTTTTATTTATAAATTATGACACATTATATAGTTATTTAATTTTTAGCGTTAAGAGTCGCATCTCAAACTAATTTGAAAATTATAAATAACTTGAAAAAATCGAACTGCCTAAGGCATCGTGGGTTCAATTCCCGCCTTAGGCAATTCGATTTTTTCAAGTTATTTATATTGACACATTATGTTAAAAGACCTAACTAAATCTCGAGCACAGTATATGGGCGTATTTGCGTTAAAACGTAAAACGGTACATTAAACGACTTTTTCTAACTGATTTATTATTGATATAGCACATGATAACAATTAAAATAATTACATGCATAAATAAAGAGAGTAATCGCTCAAAATATTATATTTCCGTTGTCATTTAAGTCTCTTTACGTTGAACAATACAGTGTGAGTCACGTTAAAGTGTACATATGAAAATAAATGAAACTAGACCTATTTTTATCGACAAAAAGGAGGTCAAAAAATTTTTGAGATTTTTTTTTTATTTATTATATAATTTTTTTTCTTCTAATTACTTATTGTAAAGAAAACGTAATAACTTTTAAACTAAGCGGTATATCTTGATAAAATAAACAGTAATAATGCTAAATAACAGGCGATACTAAAAAAATACATAAAATACACAAAAAAGGCCAACAAATAATAAAAAAATATACTTTTTGAAAAAAAATCTGCTTAAAAATTCGTGTTTTTTTGGTTATTTGATAAATTTCTCCAAAAAATGCCCCTATAACCGGTAGTTTTTATTACTTTTTATTATTCTCTATCGTATTACCTTCGTAAAACCAAAAATCGCATGTCTCTATCCCTATCACAACGTTTGCAATGATCGTTTGAACTAAGCCTCTCCGGGCGCGCCATTCAACGCTTCGTTAACAACAAAACTGAAAATGGCTCTAGATTTGTAATTTTGATAAAGACAAGTTAGATTTCAAATAAAATCAAAAGATTTCGAAGTAAAATAAGCATTTTAGTTAAAATTAAAATTGTCTCTACCTGTTTCGGAAAATAATGTTGTGGCAGGCCTTTGTTCAAACGATCATAGCAAATGTTGTGATAGGGATAGAGACATGCAATTTTTGGCTTTACAAAGATAATACGATAGAAAATAATAGAAAGTAATAAAAACCACCGGTTATAGGGGCATTTTTTGGAGATATTTATCAAATAACCAAAAAAACACGAATTTTTAAGCAGATTTTTTTCAAAAAGTATCATTTTTTATTATTTGTTGGCATTTTTTGTGTATTTTATGTATTATTTTAGTATCGCTTGTTATTTTGCATTATTACTGTTTTTATTTTATCAAGATATACCGCTTAGTTTAAAAGTTATTACGTTTTCTTCACAACAAGTAATTGGAAGAAAAAAATTTCTATAAAAAATTAAAAAAAAAATCTCAAAAATTTTTTGACCTCTTTTTTGTCGATAAAAATAGGTCTAGTTTCATCTATTTTCATATGTACACTTTAACGTGACTCACACTGTATACATGAAATTATAGAAATATGCCGACGTAAAAGGGCAATGCGTAAAATCTCAAAATATATAAGAAAAATATAAAAATTGATAACAGCAGTACCAAAAGCATTACATGTTAAGGCTAAATGTAAAATTTCATTAAATTCGTTTTAGTAGGTCAGAAGATATGACCCAAAAATATGGTTCTGGCCACTAAAATGGCTCTCCTGTAAAATTTACTTTTTTCACTTACGCCAGTATACGTAGGAGCCATCGTAATTAGAAACAGTTCCTTTTAGATGCGAGTGTATCTATCTAATGATAGTGTGATATTTAGGCGATTTGTGCAAAAAACCAAGGAAAGGTTCGCAACAAATGCGCCTGTTTATCCCCTTCCCACAAATGTATTTTAACCCAAAGTATTTGGTAAACTCGTCACGAGACCAGTCGACTGAACGCAAAGTTTTGTGCAAAATATATCCAAAACTTATGCCCTTCGTACCTACATAATACCTAAGGCTACGATTTTGGTCTTTAGTATCAATGAGTCGGTAACTAATGAACAAAGGTCAGTGGCATTTTGACAGTAAACAATCAACAACCTTGAGAAGTCCATTCTTAATTTCAAAGTCTTCTTATGTTCTTCTGATTAATTTCGTTGCGGGTCCAATGACAGTTTAACTTTTCAGACAAACTTGGCCTTCACTGGTTGGGTTTTATTGGCGGTCAAGCTGTAGATCCTGGCTACACAGGAGTTGCAGTGGTGGGAACGAGAGGTGGAAAATGTCCCGTTTTGCGTACCCTTGTGTACGAAGGGCCTTAGGTGTCTTGAATGTTGTGTTTGGACAGGTGTAGACAGGTAAGCTGTCAGTCAGGGCGTGTAGGCAACTCGGTGTATTGTGCTAACATTTTGTTCATAATTCCCATTTATTGGATTATTTGGATGTTTCAATTGAAGTTTTCTTTTTCTTTTCTTCCTACATTAACAATATTAAGGACTTAGGCAGGTCATCGAAACCTACCTTAGGTCATCATAATAGTATTATGGTATCGTACAGCTTTAAAAATAACTAAAGATAAATCGTAAACGACAGGCACATTTATGTAGGTCAGAATTTTTCAAGAAATGAATGATATTGAACTAGGTATTTTACGTGTAAGTGTAAAAGGTGTGTGAAATGCAAAAATGAAACAAGACATTTTTTTTAGGTTTTAATATTTTTTACACAATTCGTAGCATTCATAATGCCGACACAGTTCCGCCAGTGTTCTCACGTCTCGTCAGCGCAGGTGTTACTATATCTTTATATTATATAAACCAGTTCACTATCCATGTATATTTTATATTTATAATAATATGTACCTCGCCGAAATTATACAATACAAATATATAATTAACTTTGTCTCGAACCATTCAGTAATTGAAACTTTCCGCTGACCGACGCACATGTCCTTTAGTAGCTATATTTACAATAACTTCATGACTTTCAAATCATTATATATAATGTACATATACATATATAATAAAGAGAAAAATCAAAATAAAATTCTTCAATTAATACATTAATACCTAACAACTACTATTTAAGATTTTTCTCTTAATAAAAATATATTACACGCAATGCAAATAACAATAATAAAAGGGAAATATCAACAAAGTCAGGTGTTGCGAAAGTATTATTCCGAAATTATTGACCTTTTTAATACTGAGACTTCACTGGAAAATAAACGGTAATATACAAAGTAAAAGAGACGTTATATATAATTTGATAAGTATATTTACAAAAGATAACAAACTTTCTTCTAATATGAGACACTAAGTTGTGGTGTGCTTTTCCCGCCGATGGTCGTTGCGGTCGCCATTTTGTTTTACTCGTTCGTTAAAATGGAAGCCGCGTCGGGTGGGACTCGACCGCAACACGAGCCTCGCCGGGAAAATCACTTCACAGGTGATTCGCAAGACAATATGGTGGTTTTAATTATCCTAGAATAAAGCTTGTTTCCGGATAACTCATTCCGCTATCAAAGTTAACCGTAGCTAGGACCATCGACATAATAGCTCCCGTTCGTATACATATCATAAGGCTGTAATGCGGTGCATTACCGTAACGTATTCTCATGATTATTTAGAATTATTAGGCCACCGGGCCGCGTGTCGCCGGAGACATTTTAGTATTCGTATATTGCCTTCTTGGTAAACGCGACGATCCGCGGACCCGGCGGCTTGTAATCTAGGAGAAGCTCACAATACTTATCATCAGTCACAAAAATCACACGATTCATGTTTCCATTTAACATCTATGCGAAAGGCCCAGGGCGGGCGGGGAACCCTATCCCTTAATATTGGTTCCGTTCAGTTGAACACGCGTCCGCCGCCCGCCCTGCGCCCTTCGGCAGTCAGAACAATTAAAAATTTATGGTCACCTGGTAACGTAGAAGGCAATCAATGTCAGGTATTCACAAGACAAAATATACCTAAAAATCTCTTTTTCAACATTGTAAAATATCATTTCGTATTCGTATACATCGGTTACAAATTGTGCTACATCGTGAACACGAAGGCAAGTGAAACAATGATATCGGGATCACAATATCATTAATATAGTTAATAAATATATATTCAAAGATATGTATTCGACCTGTAACGCAAAATCACGAAACTACGCGGACAATTAAAATTATGTATGAAGAAATTGACGTTCAGCTAGAAGTACGTTTGAGCTTGATTGTGGTTCAATAAATTAGTTGTAGGTAACAGAAGCAACACGAAACAATACTCAGTTATACAAACTGTCGGTTATGAAAGGTACGAGGGCGTGCGCCAACTATATTGGCAACGTCCGTATACAAAATGGTGTCTAATTAGTATTGTTTAATATTTTATGATTGAAATGTTGAGAAATATTTTTTGCTAATTTATTCCGCTTATAAAATAGTATTTTCGTTACCAAAAAGTTTTTCTCAAAAATAATGCAAATTGATAGATAAATTGAAATAAACAAGCAAAGAGTGCGGCGCACGCCCCGCAGAACAAAAGCCATCGTCGTACCAACTCATGCGCATCCTAAAAATTCCCGTTGCTATTACCGCCTGTCCACTGCGTCCCTAGTACTTCCAGTGATTGTTACAACTTACAACTATTCAATTATTTATATTTACGTAATAACAATACACAATTAGCTATAAATATTTATACGATAACTATATTAAACCATTTTTATTGTTACATTCCTCTTTGCTCCTATTGTTTCGAGTGATAAAACTGTTTATTATTTATTTATATTAGGTGATTGCACCAGTTATATTACAGCGTCCAGTGTCACTCGTTATTTTACATTTAATTTAAACATTAAAGTTGACTTTAAATCTTATTTTAGGAGATCGTATACTGTTTCAAATATTACAAAATTGTTTTGTTTATGTACATTAGCGTAGTTGTCTCCTGTATATCACTTGGCGAGCGCGCGCTGCCCGCGGGGCCGAGCGGGTGTCGCGCGTGAGTCGCGCGTGTGTCGCGCGGCTGCCGAGCGGGTGTCGCGCGGGTCTACCGAGCGCCGAGCGGCCGCGCGCCTTGCCAAACGGTGTCACTGTTATTCATATCTGAAAATGAAAAAGATATTTCAGATATTGATTTATTGTGAAAGGCTTTTTAATATTTAACCAATTGGAAGTCACTAAAACTTATTAGAAAATAAAATATTTTTTTATATGCAGTAATAAATCAAAAAGTCACATAAAAAAGGTTTTTTTTCTTGTAAAGTATAACTTTGCCAGTGCATCATCTGCTGCCGGTCCATCATGTAGCCTATGGTCGCCCGGGCTGTCTACTGGACTACACGCTTCACTTACATGTACAATGTGCATTAGAGATGGTGCCCGTAGTAGTCCGCCGGGTAGTGCGCGTAGCCCTGGTGGAATGCGGGGTCGGTGGCCGGCCGGTGCATCATCTGCTGTCCGTCCATCATGTAGCCCATGGTCGCTTCGGGGCTGTACGCGCCGCTTGGGCCCGCGTGCGGGAACACTGCGGGATAGAACACTGATTGGTTAATTAGGCTGGCTGTAGCCTGGCTGGGGAGTGGTAGAGGGCTACTGGTAGTTGTAGTCCCATCACTAGCGCTATGTATAGCTAGTGTGGTGGAGAGGTATAGGTGATAAGGCTAGTAACACTTTGAAAGTCAGCGTGATGCTTCAGGTGCTTACCTATAATATTGGTAGTTCAAGGAAAGACAGAAAATTTCGAAAATATTTTGGAGTGTTTATGAATTAGACAAGTTTGAGCTAACCGCTGCAACTTTTTGTCAGTTATTGCATAGTTACTTGTTCGCTTGTTGTCACAAATATTACCAATTTCATCAACAAAAATAGATAACGAAACATTGAAATTATGTAGGTAATTGTCATCAAATAATGGGAATTGCATTTGAATCGCACAAATAACAAACTCATGAATCTTTAAGGTAATTTCGTCAATTATACATAGGTAAGCATCTAATGTGGATCCAGGTAATAACGACCGTCAACATACATAGAGACATATAGGTAGGCTTTTAATCTTCAGCTCATACTTCCGCACACTTCCCGAACAAATAAAGTAAAGGGCATGTAAATCAATTCAATTGCGCGTCCTAAATTATCATATTACTTTTTCCACTAAAATCTATCACGTACCGCCTACCGATTGTGCGCGCACTAAAAGTTCGAAATCCGCTCAATTTTACCACAGAACCGTTATGGCTTCCGATCGCAATATTTCCCTTGGATTATCAATCGTAAAGTAATGGTGTTCGTCCATTATAGTTCCCGATTTCCTGCGTCTAGGGGCTTTATGGTGGCACGCGCCATTGCGCCACGAGGGCCGGGACAAACACGGGCCATGGGGCCATCGTTACGGCCATAGACAATCACTTCACCTTTTTATTCCATCTGAATATGACGGTGGCGGTAACGATAGTTTGGGAGTTAAGTCGTCAATCTTGCCGCAATTGTCTTTCGTATAAGCTGCAGCGATTTTAATAAGGTTCTTACTAACAATGATTCATGACAAAAACGTTGATCTAATTTTCTTTGAGAAATACGAGTATTATTTCGTTACGTTATAATTTTGTCTCTATCACACTCGTATGTAAGCGTTCACGTAAATTCACGTTAACTTATGCATCTTTACTAAGCCACTAAGCAAATTGCGGGACTTTTTTGCACACTTAGCAAAAGAAATGCGAAGGCTCCGATCAGATCGTGTGCATTCAAGCGCGGCTCCTACAGGACAACAGGAAGCAATAACGGAGCCCCCGGCGAAGCCCTATAGGGAACTATGATTTAGAGTAGGCGCACACCGTTGATTTTTAGTTGGCCGATAGTTGTGCCCGATTTCAAATTGTTTGAAGAATCGGCCAAATCGAATCGGCGTAGTGTGCGCACTCCCATACATGCCCATTGCCCATACTGATCAACAGCCCGACTAAACTATCGGCCGACGAAAAATCAACGGTGTGCGCCTACTCTTAGTGGTGAGATCGAGAGGCAGCCTTGATGCCCTGTCTCCATTCTCTAATCTCGCGCACCAGCGTGACATAACTCCAAAAAACTAGCTCGCAATAGTCGAGGTCATAAAACACGGCTATTCCTAAACGGTCTGTCGCAACGGCGGATGCGAGCGCAGCCAAGTTTGCTGACGACGGAAAATGGAAAAACCGGAGGGTGGAGGATAGATGGAAAATTGTTTTGGCAATGGACTAAAGAAAATGGCCACCGCATTTCCTGTGGTCAAGCCAAAAGGCGCTTTTCCAATCGCTATATTATTTCGCTGCGTGGTCACGGCGCGTGCCCGCTAGACGGATCGCGACGACTCAATCGATCGCTTTTTGTTTTCATTAATCGTCACACGTCAGTATTTTTTCCTTTTGCCGCATTCCGTGTTCAATAAATGTAACGGCGGATCATACATAATGCGGCGCGCGTGTGTGCGTGGACAGACATAACCCTGTCAGTGGTTCAGCCGTGCCGTATATACGGATAGTCGGTGTTTCAGCTCGGAACGACGGCGCTGGCTAATGAATTTATTATAAGGGCATAAATTGCTCTCTGATGCGACGCCATTACCGTGCCAGCCTGTAAATTACAATTCGTTCGAGCGCGGCCATCGTACGCTATTTCCGACCAATCGTTTATTGAGCTTTTCGCGAGGATTAAATCGTGTTGCTCTCATCAGTCCGGGCTGCGCCGGCTTATTAAAAACGTGCATGCCGAATTAAAATACCAAATATATTTTTATCGGTAAAATTACAGACGGACAAAAAGGGAAAATATCTCTAATCCCCGAATAGGCGAGGGCCTACACATCCACACATCTAGATAAGCTACCAGGCGAGCATACATCGCCGATAGTCGGCGGAGGGGCGAGTGATGGATCGCCCGGGACGGGTCAACGAATTCGGACATTATTCTTTTTTACCCTTCTTGCGTTCCCGGCGTTCGCAAGAGTAAGCCCTTTTTCTGCGATGTCCTTTTTTTCCAGGGTGGAATTTTTGTCGGCGGTGCGGGGCCCGGGGACGCTTTATGGACTGTGTGCTACAATTACAAAGTAAAAATAGAATCGGTCGTTTGTAATTCTATTGCATATCGTCGTACTAGGGTTGTGTTTTTAGAATGTGCGAGTATTTTCTTGAGTGCTGTGTTATTTAAGCGAGCCACCTGCTCGTGCGACCAGGCGGCCATAAGTCGCGCGGTCAGCTAAAAGCCCGAAGACGTGCGGTCTCGCGGGACGCTCCCGGCTGCATACTGTATGAAGGCGGACTTTGCGGTCAGCAAACTCAATTTTCGACTTCAAAGTCGCCGGACGTGCGGGTTGAATGCGGAACGGCCGTAATGCCCATTGATCGCCGAATTGGAAATTGCTGTGAACTGGACACATGGCCACAATGCGCGTTAGACACGCTTTTAGAAGCCACACCAATTTGAAGCCATTATCATAACTGATCTTTGCTTTCATTGTGCATTACGGCCATTCACGGCGTAATGAGATACCCTTTGTTCCATTACTGTGCGTTCTACAACTAAATAGTGCGATGTGGATGTATAAGAAAAATGTTACCTGCTCTATTCGATTGGTCTATCATGGGCTGTACTATCCTACGTCTCGCGTTGATAAACCTGAAACAAGGAGATTAGGATAATTAGTTAATTACACAATTGTTAGAGGGAGACAGTATACATACACATGCACGTCTCTCCCGGGACGAACGCGTGAATAACATCAAAATTACACGAGCCAATTAGCTTGGAAGTACCAGGAGAGCATAGGTAAATCACAAGTGTGCTTTTGAAACAATTACTTGGGCAATATGTTATGAGTCTGAATGAGTAATCACGGCGGGTGCATCGCAAATGAACTGTCAGAGCTGGTTCGAGTCCCGGCGAGGACGCATCTGCGATTGGTTTGTAATTCGATCAGTTTTTTTGCGTAATCAACGGATAATTCCGATGTCACGCGAGTGAAACGTTTCGCGCGGACTACAATGGCGTTTCACATGGAAAAAATAACGCATTCATGTATTCCGATTGAGACGTAAGAAATCCGATGTCATTAACGAGAGAATGGAATGGGACGCATTCATTAACGGCAAAAACCTTAACAACGACTTCATATCACGTTGGGAGCTGTTTTTAGCAAATCAAAAACTCGAGTTGTTCTTTTCATCTCTAATGAGTGGATTTTCATTTCATATTTAACTTTAAAACGCACAAAATTTACCAACATGTTAACGCCAAAATATTCAAAAAATGTGTAGCAAATAATATTAATTATGAAGAAGAATATAATAGTTTAACAATGTACGTACCTACTCTTCATAATAAATGTATGCATATGTTTTAGGATTAAAAAAGCAATCTTGAAACCGTACAAAATACGATTAAAGCACAAAAACGGTCTCGATTACAATAAACATTTTAATAACAGAGTCCCCAGTTAACACTAAAACGGCAAGGACATTCAAAATTAGCGTCGAACACCGGGTTAGGGACGAACTATCCCTTGAAGGGTCCGGCAATTACTCGCCGTCGGATGCGTCTAATGTATTGTTAATATCTAGATTAGTTCATTAACTCTTCATCCGCCGGGGGTCTCAGGGACCGTGGGGAGAAAAACGGCGAGTTTTATGACGCACGCGGGTATACGCCAAAACGCCGTGTATTAAATTTGACACTGCTTATTGTTATGACGCCATTTGTGTAATTACAGGAGTTTAGCAGTGTTTGGGATTTTGTCTTTTTAGTTTTAGCGTTGTTGAGGTTGGGAATGATTTGATTTTTTTATTTAAGCTGAAATTTTTTTGGAAGGATTTTTTTGTCTCTTATTGCACTGTTATTTATAAAGTCTGCATGTCAATGTTTCAACCACAGACAACTCTAAACAACCGTGTGTTGAGCCCAGCGTTTCTCCGAAAGCAAACCATATAAATAACGCGTGCCATTTCCATTCCACGAATCCAAAATGAAACATAAAACAACGAACATCTGCGTCTATTAAACATTCCAAACAAACAAAAACGTACAATTTTAATAACGCAGCCGAATTATTATTAAACTACAACAGAGACAACGTATCTACGAAATTTACATTTGTATAAATGTTATTTTATATCGGACATAATGGCCGACCCCGATAGCGGGGTCTCATAAATCATAAAAGGAGATTTGGATTTGTTAATTTGCCGCCGGCTAGAGAAGGGTTGACGCGGTGTCAAATGGTACTAACCCCGGTGCATTGTGCATTCCGAACCCTAAAAATGCATATGCGCCGTGATATATGCGTTCCGTATGCAGATTCGCCGATTGTAATGAGATTTAAGCATTAGTTGAGTTGCATGAGTACGACACCCTTTGTTGTTGTTTGGTGTCTGATGATTCAATGGAGGATATGGATTTGAAACAGTATGGCGACTTGGCTAATTTTTACGATTTATTTATGTGGAAGCCTTATGTTGGAAGATCAAGTAAAGTTACTTCAATAGGTACCTATCACTAGTACAAAAATAAAATGTAAAGCCGCCAGCCAAGTCTTTTAGATGCCAAGATATGGGTGTTTCAAGATTCATATGTAAATATTTTAATGAATTCCCAAGTTATTCATTTAAGCATAAAGTAGCATAATGTTCAGTCCTCAATTATTTCAGCATTCAAAATAATAACTGTCATGACCATGACCATTAAAAAAACTAGAAACAAAGTGAAAGTAAAGATACCTGAGCATCCTCGAGTATAACTAAATACTACAATGGCCAGCTCCAGTTATCTGGAGATATGTAACGCGATACAAGCTACAAATAAGGCGCGTGGCCTCACAGACCCTCGCACTCCGGCGCAGGGTTAACACGACCGTTCACGAACGACTTTTGACCATATTTGTGGGTCGCGTGAATTTATTCCGCTTTTTGCTTGAATTTGAATTTGTTTGTACATTGTTTTGCTTCGGGTTATTTGGATTAGGTAAACAAAACATTTTTGTTTAAAACCAAATAAGTTCACATTTTTTCAAACAAGTTTATACTACAATTGTGTTATCGCCTTAAATATGAGTAGATATGTTATATTTTTTGTTGAATCACCTTTTACTTGGTGATCCATGAGAAAAACAATTTTGATGTACATATTTCGACAGTCATGCTGTGTTCAGTTTTTCATTGTCATTTATGAAGACATTTATCAACATAACATACAGTCTTACTTTTGTACAACTGCCATGGCTCAGTAACTGACTGTTGCTGTAAGACCGCGTTGTTTGTGCCATAGATTTATAATCAAACTATACAAGTGTATTTCCCATTAATGAGAATAAGAATAATCCGGCCATTTCCATCATAACTGATAACAATGATTGCGTCACGTCCGTCCAGTGTAATGCGGCGCTGTAATAACATCGACCTCTTGATATCCCGATAGTCCTTATTATTATTGTGTGATGCCAACTTTCCCTAAATAGGAAAAGTTAAAAAGCCCATTTAGAGCCTGGGACACGTCCCGGCCAAAATAGGGATTGGCCCTCCGAGCAACCACCAAAGTAGACTTTACGAACGCAAGAATAAGGTGAGCGAATAAAATTTAATTTGCCCATGAAGTTTTTGGATTTTAATTACGTTAACCAAATTAAATAACGACCGGCAGGAATGTCTGGCGCGGGAGGCGCGTAATTCATCCCTTAAGAATGCAAGGAATCATTTGCCACTGTAATTTGGGGGTAAATGAAAACTTGGATGCCAAGGAATCTAGTTCATTAAAACAATTTATCGGCGACGGGATCGGAACTACGGATTTCATTAAAGTTGGCAAGAATGTGTGCTCATAATTAATCTTTTAAATATCATGAATACATTTTTCGAAGCGTAAAAAGTCTAATGGCACCTTTTGACGCACAGCATACATTTACAGGTTAAGGCAACCGAAGATTTTTTGTAAGTTAGATTGTCCCAAAACAAACTTAGTTTTGCACCGTCTTAATAGACCACCCAAAACTCCAATTCTTTTCCGCATCTCCCAAACCCTCCACTGCCGGGCAACAGCGCGCACAAGTGTGTAAACAACCGCACCCCAATAGAACAATTTATTAGTTGCACAGTTCGGCCGCCAGGTGGCAGGTGGGCCGTAATTTACGTTTTTCCCTAATTAAGCTTTAATTCGCTGGATCGCTGCAACTCACCCACCCGTGCTGTTTGTAAATACTTTTTCTGGCAACTCTTCCTTAAGTTGGGGTTACTTCTTTTCTTAATTTTGGACAAGTGAAGATGAATTACGCCAAAATGGAATATTTACCGCATTTTTACTTTCAAAATCCCTTTAAATCGGATGTTTATTGCTTTAATTAAGCCAATGGCCATTAAAGCTCCGAAAAAGCGGAAATATTCATACGCAGCCGCGAATCGTTAGCCCTTTAAGGTTTATTTTCGAAACGCTTAATTTCTAATTTAAATTACAAACACGGAGTCCCTAAACTTTTATCGGGAGCGGGACGGAACCGGGCGGATCCCGAAATTGTAATCCCGAGGTACCAGGGCGACATAGCTTATCGCCGGTGCCGGCCAAATGAAGGCATTAGTTTTCATAAAGCCGCGCAGATAGCCCACGGTCACTCCCTCGGCCTCTGCGAGGGGATGCGCTCCTGGTACCCATCGCCAAGATATATCGACTGCGATATGGAAAACCATTGCTTAGGGAAATGAAACTTGGTCTCTAGAATAATATCAGCTATTTACGATTGCCAAAAATTCAGAATTGCCAGATTTGAATTCTGAAGCGAAACGATTGTCAGAATTCGTTCCCACTTATATCGAACTTCAATAAAATGACTTTCTTATTATGGCACGTCGTTCGGGCCTCAATAACTTTTCAAAAATTTAACTTTATTTACGTTACGAACGTCGCACAAATACAGCAGAGAGATCGCCCCGGTGGTACCGAATACGAAAATGATATTGGGGTACGAGAAATCTACATACAGAAATAAAGTTGAGAACAAATCTGACGCGCAATGAACGCAAGGTAAAATACAGTTAGGCACGACACGACACGGCATCGACCGGCGAAACATTGGGTCCCGTTGGCATAATTCATTATTAGTAGGTAGGTAACTTGTTTTTCCTGTCGACAGTTTGTGGTGGCGACAAATACTGCGCGTTGATCAATGCGCGGCTGCGACGCCTCGATTGCGGCGATGCCACAGTTTCACGGTGGAATTGATTTAACGCGTTTTGGCTTTTGTTGACCATTGTCGGATGAGCAAATGCAGACAATTTGCATGATTAGTCCAATATGAAAGACGGCTATTTCTTTACGCTTTTGCTTTACTTTTATTCATAAGACTACTTAACTCATTGTATTGGATTCTTATTAGATTATCTATGGGTGTTGAATACCTTCGTTAAGTCAACTCAAATTCAAGAAAATAAAGTAACTATGGATTATTACATCATTTTTAGGTTTCAAAGGGTATATTTAAGTTTTATTTAAAGTGATGCAAGTGGATTTCAAAAACTAAACTGACCTTTTGAATGAGCTGCGTTTCACAGCACTATACGGATAATTTTTCAAACAGATACAAAGACAACTATTTGTTCCATTCGTGTAAGGGTCTCCTCATCCAGTCGTATAATTTCAGA